GCGTGAATTGCGCCCAAATCGGTCTGAATTGAATCACTGCGCGATTGCTGTGAATTTTGCTTGTCTTTCATTGTCTTAATGTCGTTGTCATTAGTGGTGAGTCGAGAGCCCATCTCTGCCACGACCTATACATCGATAACACAAAAAACATATTTAAAAAACACGTCATTATTATCGACAATTATTACAATTAAAAGACACAATAAAACAGTAATAACACAAAGATAACAGTAATAAAGATAACAAACAAACACACAAAACAGACTTATGTTTTACAGCATATCATTGATATGGTTATCATAATTGGTGGCAAACCTTTTGCAAATCTTGCAACTCTTTGGGGAGTTGTCTGATGGCAGGCGCGGCCTCTACTGAATCGGCGATTTGACTCATTTGGAGCTTCATTTGCTTCACTTCTTGTGTCAGATTATCGATGCTATCGAACGCGCGAATCACATCCACTTTAATGGCACTGATATTGCCGTCCAATGTCTTCAGGTGCGAGTGTATGGAATGCAACTCCGGAGGAACACCATTACCACTGTTGGACACTAAACACAACCACAGACACAGACAAAGCAAATGATTAGACAATGAAATGCCATAAAACTAATGACAAAACCATTTTCATACAGTCATTGATAGCGGTCTGGAGTGAATCGATGCGATCGTATAGTTTTGAGATGAATAGTACGGTGAAGGCCAAGGAGCTGACGATCAGTACTATTAATACAATTTTCATACAAATGGATGGACAGGACGTGAGGGCCCGGCTCTTAATCGATTGGCTCGAGTCCGTCGATCGCGACCTCCTGTCAAACGGACACAAAAATCACTCATTAATTGAATATTCATTTATTGTCTATAGAAATATCGATCAATAAATTAAAAACAAAAAAACTGATCATTCAGTTGAAGGAAAAATGAATTGAAATGTGAATCAGAGCCTGAAATGTAGTCTATATTTAGTTCATTAAAACAAACGGATATTCACTATAATTCCGTATTTCATATGTGGGACTAAATATAGATAACTATAACATATATTATGGATATATTTTATATTTAAAACAATTATAACAATAAATAAACAAATAACAAAACACTTGACTATAACCGAGATTACTATCATAACTATTATCAAAAAAAGTCAATTCTTAAGTAATCACTAAAAACAAGGTAATGAGGGTATGGGTGACAGTGCAGTGGTTGACCACTGTATGGTAAGCTATCATCGGGTAAAAGGGAAAGGGGTATCAAATAGACTGACAGAGAATCGATGAACGGGTTGTCAACCACTGATAGTGGACAGGCATACGAGACACACAAACACTACGACAACCAGTGGTACGACTGGTGGGGACAGACCTCTTTCTGGCGAACCGGGTCTTGACTTTGCGTCTCTGCATTGGTATCACTATATCATCGGTGGACGAGTCAGACGAGGAGGACATGCCGATGGCCGACATGAGCTGTTTGGTGGTGTTGGCGGTGGCCGTGGAGGACAGGCTGTTGTTGGCGTTGTAGGTCTGGGTGTTGTGATTGGAGGCATAGTTCATGAGATAAC